AAAGACAGTTGTCAATGAATCTCTTTGAAGATTCTCTCGTGGCTCAATGGCGACGTCTCTTGCTTTTCACCACTGAAGTTCCGGGTTCGATTCCCGTAGAATCCCCCCAAAAAAACGCGTTTACCTGCTTCACAGGCTCAAGTCCAACCCCTGTAAAGTTTCCTAAACCGTATTCTAATTCCTTCCCAAAGTGGCCGCTGGGTAGTGACGCAGGAGCGCGTGGTAGGACGTGGAGATGCTACCTGGCGGTCCTCTCGACGACTGACTGCGACGAGTCGTGACATTAAATAACAGCTAATGTTAACGGAGGATTACTCCTGTAACTCTAGCGCGATTACGAATGCGCAAAGCGCTCAACGCCCCCCGGGGCTTAGGGCTTAGAACGCGTTGCGTCAATTCAGACGCAACACATTTTTAAAAATAACTCCCCATGAGTTGGCACTTACACGCCGTTTGGCTGCGTGTAATAATGTTTGTATTGCTCCGATTTGCATCTTTTTATCTGTTTTATTTTCTACCATCATGTTCGATACTGCAAAGTGGAGAAGCATATGAATGGGTGAGAACCCTATCGGTATAAGATCAGATCAGTAATGTAAGTTTCAGAATCTATAAAATGTCACTTATACGTTCTGATTTTCACCTATTCGTATGACAATTTTTTATTGAATTAGACATTTTGGTGCGATATTTTCGCAATAAGATTACTTTGAAGTTTTGAAGACATTTTTCGAAGGGACTTTTCGTTGCATTTTAAGTTTAGAAAATACAGTTTTCAATGAAGCTCTTTGAAGATGCTCTCGTGGCTCAATGGCGACGTCGCTTGCCTTTCACCACTGAAGTTCCGGGTTCGATTCCCGTAGAATCCCCGAAAAAACACGTTTACCTGCTTCACAGGCTCTAGTCCAACCCCTGTAAAATTTCCTAAACCGTATTCTAATATATATAATTCTAACATATAAAATGTCACTTATACGTTCTGGTTTTCACCTATTCGTATGACAATTTTATATTGAATTAGACATTTTGGTGCGATATTTTCGCAATAAGATTACTTTGAAGTTTTGAAGACTTTTGAAATAACTCCAGATAAGCGTGTTAAAATTACGCATAAAATCGTGTTAAATCACGAATATTAAATAGAACAGCAAGATATAATGATATTACTTTATTGGAGAATTCGAAAGTACAGTATGACACACAAAAAGAAACGATGATGAGAACCCATTCCGAGCATACATTCACTAGATTAAAATTAACGTTACAGTTCTTTATGACAAATTTCTCGAATTGCGTAGCGCAAAGCCAAGCTTCATGTACATTTCCCAAGTTGGCAGGACCTAAAGTCCGCCATATTGAAAATTGTCCTGAAAAGCCACACATGCTATGCCAAGGGCAGGCACAAACGCTCAGGGCGATCAAAGGTGGAGCTACAGATTTTCCTGCCGTCATCCGCGACCTGAGCCACGAGGCTACGCGATGATTGCTGGAAGTTGCCGAAGTGGACAATTCTTTACTTCAATTATTGGACGATGGTTGACACGCACAGTCGACGAAGTTCATCCAGTGGCCACTAGAGTGCTCCGTAGGGTCCCCATCCGAACACTAGGGTGCAGCGCAGCCAGCGCTACGTGCGGCCACAGCTAGAACTACGCGTTTCACTTTTCTTCTCAGTCAATCTTGGGATGCGACCACGATGTCGATGTTTTCAAAACATCGATGTTTTTGTGGAAATGTCGTGCTGCGTGCGCTTCATTTTGTAATTTCCTCCCCCCCCGCGCGCACACACACACACACACACAAATGTCAAATGATTTATTCTTAAAACATGGACCATAGTTTCTGAGGTTATGCCATGGGAACAGAATCACCATTTAACCCTTCAGTGATATAGAGGATTACAATTGTATTCCAGTCCACTTTTAAGTACCTTTCGTAGAGTACCTCAGCCATTGAATTAAAGCGAAATGTGGCTCAAGTGCTGAATGCTGCTCTAGCGATAAGCGTCGGAACCAGCTTGGATTACAATGCTGTCCGCGCGATCACTCGCGATTCAGTGTCTGACCTATACTTTCAAGAAGAAAATCGCTACAACTGATGCTGTGAATATTTATGCAAATAACTTATGTGGAGAAAGAATAACTAGAAAGGGATTTCTATCAGATATAACTTATTGACTGGAGGTTCAGATTTTCTTCCCATTTATTTGTCAAATTATTTCACCAGGTTCTTATTATTTGGCTATCATCTCCCATGTATTTTTATTCCATTAATGAAACAGGAAAATTATGCAAAAGGTTTAAAACATTCTAATTTTATTGAAACAATACATTTATAACGTTTGGGAGCAATAAGCCTGAAAGATACATGAAAGATGAATTTGCTTACTACATGAAATTGTCATTCGTAATGGGTATTTTTACAATTACGGCAAATAACACCATTAAAACAATGATACATTAGCCAACAGGTTAAGGTAATAATTGTTTCAGAAGTAAGGCTCAATTCTAAGGTACCAATTTTTCTCGAGTTCCTGGGTATCTGATGAAACCTGAGAAAACTCTCACTCGGTCCGAGGCTGCATAGGTTTCCGATGATTTCGGCCGGTGATGTCAAGGTCGATGCCACGAGTGGGATTCTGTTGTGTGGGTAGCACGACAAAATCACCCCTCCAGGAAGTGATCACAATACCATAGAAGAGAAGTAGGTAGTCAAAGTTGCTCTGAACGCTTTTACGCATTACACATGAAATACGATTAGGCGGGAACTATATAAACACATTTAAGAACTTTTGTTGTAATTTTTTAGTTATATTTTTATTTTTATGTGCATATTTTCTTATTTACATTCGATTTCAGGTTGGTAATGTCAGATTCTAGAGATCCCAAGATACAAATTCGTAAACTATTTCTCTAATTTTCAATCGTCCTGGTTTTTCAGGAATTTATATCAGGATATTATTCGAGCATCATTTTCTATTAAGTTTGCAAGTCGTGATTTATAGTGTACCTTGTAAAATTCTATTACACTGCCGTCTGAAGATAAGGATATTACTGATATTCTTCTTCTTAATTTTTGCGCCTATTCACGCAACGCGTCTCCTAGCTCCTAAGAGAGATGAGCGCTCTTTGGAGTAATCCTCCGTAAATTATAGGAGTAATCCTCCGTTATTAAATACCCAGCACCCTCTAGGGACCGCTGGCTAGTCAAGTCACGTCAGTTGCAGTCAAGTCACCGCATGGCCGATAGATAGCGTCTCCGCGCTCGCGCTTTCCTATTCCACCGCTGGTTACGCAGAGAAGCTCATAGTGCGCCACGGAGCCACGAGGCGCGCCTGTGTCACCAGCAGGAGTCCTTGACGTCAATGATTTTGGCGTTTGCTCCAATTTCGTACCTAATTTACGTTTCCAGGAAAACGGCAACACGTTTGAGCATCTCGATGCAGCAACTCCACATTCGCAAGTCTCAACACGCTCCTGCAGGTCGGATTGCATACACCAAGACGTAAACAGACGACGACGTAACAAGACTGCAACGGCCCTTCGCACCCTGCGTAGAAGGAAGAACGCAACAAAGCAGGTCACCACAGACGTTATATTATTAATATGATAGTAAGACTAGGTGGCTTGACATGCTAAGATTTGATATATTAGGCTCTTAGGGCTAATAGGCTCAGTTTGGCTTATACCATTTTGCGACGTTTAGTACAGGGAATGTTGAACCAATGCGAATGTAACAATTATCTCACAACCTGCATCCATCATACTTATTAAAAACAGAAACAACGTTGTGCTCGCTCTATTTTACACGAACTCTTTCCTAAATGACAAAATATTAACATTGCAAAAGTACAATATCAATGATAAAGATTGTTTGTTAAATGAAATGAGTAATAAAAATCAGGGATTATACACAAATAAGTTACAAATAAGTTCATAAACAATTACTTCCAAAAACAGTCTTTTTCACATAATTTCGACTCGAAGATAGTGCTACTAAAAAAACATTTTCTAGAAACTGCTTCAATTTTTTCTTTGGATTGTTTGCACAGATTTAGCAAAGGATAAATGGCGCAGACCTAATATTAGTTGAACTCTAAATTTTCGGTTAATTATTTTGTGCTTCCGGGTGCGACAACTGTTGAGTTCATTAGTCCTGTACGTGTAGTGCATGTTTATCCTCGGGCGGTCACAGCGATCTTCCCCGCTGGATGGCCAGGTCCTAGGCCGACATACACACAGGATAGCAGAGTTTACCCCAACCAGCACTCTCCAACCAGCGGGGACAAGACCGCTCCAGCCGGGACAAACTGGTCTCGATAGATGGCCGGTCGCCAACTGGTCTCGAAAGATGTGGTCATGTAGTGCATGTATGTGTGTATATATAAAGGAAGAGAATAAAAGACAAGGAAGAGGAAGTAAAGATCGCGCGCGGTCCATGGCCCGTTTCTTAGTCTCTTTCTTCCCGTTTCTCTTGAAATTTGTTTATAATTTACACGAATTAATATGAACATTACAATATTAGTTGGAGAAAAATTAAATTTTGGGGGCATTTTTTGCATCCTATCAGCAATGCACGGCAAGAAAGAGTCTTCTGTTTTCTATCAGCAAGTAATGTAGACTCTACAATTGGCACAATTTACTTTTGAGAATAAAGGTAAAATAGAAATGAAGGAAGACATAATAAATAGAAGTGGCTTAGTATTGATTATTTATTACGAAAAATTAATTTAAATCCGAATATTACAATTCGTAGAAACAATGTAATTGGCATTATGACCTTTTCTAATTCATATTTTACACTATGTGCAAGAACAATTGTTGTTAACTTTGAAGATAGCAAATTAAGTTAGTTTTATATATTATACAAAATGAAATAATAATATTACATTTCTGGAGAATAAAATCAACAGAAAATATGTTATACTTTAATTTTACCAGATTCTTTCAGAAAGTCGTAACAGATACTTTTAGTTGAAATTCAAATACAATTGTTATTTTTCTAATAAAATAACTGCAGAATTATTTATAATATTGCATTAGAAGAAAAGACTCAATGTCTAAGGATATGATTATAATTCACCAAAAAAATAAAAAATGTTGCATAATGTTCTTAATTGTCTTGCTAGGATGATCTGAAATTCTTTGATTACATCTTTGACAAAATCTTTCAAGATTTTACCAAATATTGCATAAATATTATTTCTTTAATACAATACGACTAGTATTTTTCTTTAAAAAAATACTTTCAACACATTTAGATAAATATATTTTTTATTCCAGTACAATAATTACTTACATACGCATTCAAACAGCATTAGTATGTCAAATTGCTGATAGAGAAGAGGAAATAATTACGTGTTACAATGTAATGGCGTAAGTTAATGGCAAATAATGAATATAAACGTGACATGTTATGTTACAAAATAGTTGTTCCTTTGGAGTAAAGCAAGGTTTTCGCTTATTGACATTAAATCTAAGAGGTTATGCAAACCTGACTCTGTTATCAGTGAGTCGAATGTGTTGTAATCTAGTGGTCATCAGTGTGTCGAATCTGCGTTGTAATCTACCGGTCATCAGTGAGTCGAATCTGCGGTGCAATCTAACGGTCATCAGTGAGTCGAATCTGCGTTGTAATCTAACGGTTCCGAACCTCTGCCGTCCATACGAATGAATTTCATTAGCATTCGAATGTCGTCCTTAATCTTTGGCTTGACGGAGTCCTGCTGCAAGAGGTACTGGAACGTCCCTTTCAAGAACTGCCCCTTCGTCTTGTACTCCTTGACGTCGAAATCGCGCAAGTGAACGTTGGGGATGAACTCCGTGAAAATGAATCGTATGATTTCGTACTCCGCGAGGAGCGCGTCCTGCGTCATCTTGCTGTGGTCCAACGCCCGGAAGACGGTCATGTCGACGTAGGTCGGCTCTGCGCTCTCCGACACCAGCGCCCACTCCACCTCCTGCGCCCCGTAGCCGTTCGTGTACACCTTGCCCACGTAGTAGTCGATGGCCTTGCGCAGAATCGGATCCCACTTCACCGGCGGAAGGGAGTTCATCAGACCCAACACGTACTTGAGCATCTGCCCGCGCGTTTTGTGCAGTCGCGGGTTGAACCGGGCGCCCAGTTGCTTGTAAAACTCGGGTCTCGAAAAGTAGTTCTTCAGCTTGGCAACGTACTGTCGCTCCGTGTCCGACTTTACGACGGGCAGGGCGTTTAGTAACGAAGGAAAATGTACAACAGAGTCGGCGGATAAAGTTTGCCTGAAACTCGAAATGAATTGAAGGAAGCTCTGCACGTATTTGTAAACGTCTTCCACGCGTTTGATGACCTCCAACTGGCTGATTTTCTCCATCAAGGTCACGAGTAGCTCCCCTTTCTTGATGTTGGGCGAGAGACGCGTGAAGTCGCCGATCAGTTGGGGCAAGCGTGCCCACGAGAGCAACATTTGCGCGGGGAGGATTTTGGCGTGCTCCTGGGAGTCGTCGGCCGTGCGAGGCAGGCACGTGGCGGGGTACTTGAGCGAGGCGGGTTCCTCCTGCTGCACCGCGCTCAGCGCGGGGAACGGCAGGGCCTGCGCTCGCCTCGCGGCCGTCGCCACCTCTCGCAAGAAGCGGGCGTCCGAAGCCTGCGGGGCGCGCCGCCACGGCGCTAGCGTCGCGCCTGCGCCTGCACCTGTGTCCAGCAACGTGGCGGCTGCGTTCGCCTCCTTCGGAGGTTGCAGCGTTGTCACGAGTGGAGGTCTCGTCTCCAAGGCCGTAATGCTCACTTCTTGGTCGTCTTGTGGACGAACCTGACTCAATAAAGGTTGTCGTGTAATGGGGTTTCCATCTCGATCCAGAAGTTTTAACAGTTCCTTAATGATAACAGTGGAGCGGCCTTTCGGTAAATATTTTTGTCGTAGAATGAAACAAAGGAAGTTGTAAATGCATTGTCGGGGTCGAGAGCACCTGTGAACTGAAATGTTTCGGGCTACTTCGTCCCAACTGACATTTTCTTCCGATAAAGTCTTGGCCAATTCAGCGAACAAGTCGGTAACGTTTGAAGGCACCGACGAGTCTGCGTACGCGCTGGCCACGACCGAAGCGTCCAGAAGGTTGACAGGCACCGTCGACGACATGGAGCACTGGACTTTCTTGTACAACAAGAAGACTTGCAGCATTTTCACCGACTGCGAAACGTGCTTCGGCAACTGGGGAACTCGTTTGTCAATTCGAGTTAAAAGCGCTATAAGAATGTTCATTGGTGTCACGTGATCAAATCTATTGAAACCTTTCACAATAAATTCCATATTCAATTGCCCATCAAGAATGTATTCAACTATACGATTCCTCGCTTTCACAATTTCAAACGGATATTCCTTCGGGGTGATGGATTTGAGCAAAGACAGTATGTCAATGCTCGGCTTGCTTATTATCCCGGAGAGATCCTCGTAGTGCTTGTTGGCGTAGGTGACGGACGGTTTGCGCAAGTAGAGGCGGAGGTAACGAGCATCTTCCCTCAGCGACAGCTCATTCTGTTCGCTCTCAGACACGAGTTTCAGCACCTTTTTAATGAGCGTGTCGGGATCTTGCTGGTCTTCCTTCGTTATTTCTTTCACAATTCCACTCCAATTTTCAACGTTCCCCAGACGCAGCACATCCACAAAGTAGCGCTCCGTCTCGTCCTTCTCCGCGGCCACGTCGTTCGTCGGTCGGTTCACCAACAAGAGAGCGAACAGAGACTGGGTCAGCTCGAGAGTGCCTTCTCTCAGCGCGGTGAACACGTTCTCGAAGATGTCGGCCCCAAACAAGTCCTTTGCGGCAGAGCCGTTCTTGGCGGCGGCGTGGGGCCACTGCAGCTCCTCCGCGAGCTGGTCGAGGAGGGAGGCGTCGATGCCGGCGAGGAAGTCCACGACGAGCGGGCCGCCGCCGGGCCTGAGGACGCCGTCCAGGAAGTCGGGCCGCTTGCGGCAGGCGTCCACCCACACGCTGACGGCGCTCTGCAGGTAGCGCGGCGCGACGAGGCGCATGGCCCTGAAGAGGGCGAGGAACTGGCCGGCGGGGCCGGCGCCCGCCAGCTCCCTGACGGCGCGGATCAGCTCGAACGTGGCCACCCGGCGCAGCCGCACCGCGTCGAACACGTGGAACAGCGACGTGTACAGCTCGGCGGAGAGCGGGCTGGCGGGCAGGCTGAGCACGTAGCCGAAGACGGTGACGATGTTGTCGCGGAGCGCCACCGACGCCCACAGTTGCGTCATCAGCTGCTGCACGTCCAACTGCGACAGACACGCAGCTTGCAACTCCCAACAAGGCAAACGCTTTCTTATTATTTTAGGAAATTTTTCAGTTTGTGCAATGGGTATTGCAAAGTGTTACAATTATTTTCCTAACTTATATTATTACTAGAGGCGGCATTTGATGACCTAAAACATTTCCTAAAATAATCAACAAATAATAGTTGAAGCAATTAATTTAGAACGTTAAGCTTTATTGCATGAGTACATGTATTCAAAACGAGCGACTTTAGGAGCGACTTTTCAAATTTGTACGAATGTAATAAAGCAACATTATAAACGATTTGCTTACTATATTTTTGTATAACAGCATTGTACATTTATAAGAGTATCAAACTTAATACTACGAAACAACTTCCCTGTGAAGACTCGGGTATTTGACATCGTGCGAGTAAACGGTAGTCGGCTGTTCCGTTTAGCTCTACTTCCCCCCGATTCTCTCGCTACGATTGGCTGAATGTGTCATGGCGCAATCGACAGAATGCAAAATGACAGAAAGAAGTAAAAATGGCTTATTAGTAAAAAGCGACGAAAATGTAAAAAAAATGCCACTGGATCATTTGCTTTTGTCATAACATAAAATTAATGTCTATACTAAAAGGACGTGTTCTAAAATGGAATTGTAAAAGCATTTATGGCTTTAACCTTACTTCTACTCTACAATTGAGTTTTTAGTATGCTTTTGGTTCTCTAAAAGACGTTCTGTTTCAAATTCTTTTTTACTTTTATGGTCAATTCCTTTTAGCTGCAGTATTTGTAAATATTTGTATTGGTTGGCGTGTTCAAGACCTTCAATAGTCTCATTAGGAGTTACACATTCTTCCGAAGCTACAATTTTCCGATTTCCAAAATGATCAGATTTGTATTTATCAATGCCAAATTCCATACGTATCTCACTGCTAAGTCTGGAGGTAATGTCAAGAATTTTGTGAAGCTGTTCTTGTGATTTGACATATATGTTCAGGTCATCCATGTACAATAGATGGTTGATAATGAAATTATTGTTTGATCGTGTATTTAGTTTGTATCCGAATGTAGTGCTACGGAATGTTTAACTGAGAGGGGAATGTTTAACTGGATGGAAGATGATGTCATTTAAGTATTCTGCAAGGCTTTTATGAATGCATGGGAATTGTTTGTACCAAAAGTGTTGTAAATGGCCATCCCGGACGCTCTCCAATTTGATGTTTTCATGATTACGTCTCGCATTATCACTAGCATGTAGCGAGGACATTACTTTGAACCTTTTCATTCTCTCTCTTTTCTCATTTAATATCGTGCTCTTTTGTTAATGTTGTGTAGGTACCTCCCAAATTCCGGACCAGAAATCTGTAATCAGTTCTTCAGTTGGAGCGATGGTTTTATTGATTTTATTACCATTGATTTTATTACTAATGATGTTTAGTCTTCTGTACAATCGTTTTTGGTCCTGGAATTCTGCATTTTGCTTCTTGCGGGTGGTAGCCGTTTTGTATCTTCGGAGTCTTTAGAATACACTTGTTGAGTGTGTTTGTCCAGGATATCTGTTAAGACACAATGAGGCGCTTTTCTAATTTTACTGGAGTGATAATCGCTTGCACCCGTTTTTTTAGTTTTCTGGTGTTAACGCCTTTCTGCTATTGTATAAGTCTTCCTATTTTCGCTCTCATTTATTTAATTCGGTTTTCTAGTCTTATTTGGCAGCGGGGTATGTTTTTCTTTTCTTTCTCTGTTTGTGTGCTTTGTTGTAACTGCGTTAGATGTATATCGTTATTAAAACGCGTATGATATTTCAGATCTTTACAGACATCTTCGGTGTCAGAAGCTTTGGTTGTGCACGGGCATTATTACCAGAGGAACGTGTAGACACAGCCTGGAACTCGTTTTCGACTGCTAAACTTAAATTATTTGGCGTGTCAGGTCTGTTGTCCATATTTGAATAATTTTCGGTTAGAGTATCTTGGTTATTAACTATATCTCCGATATCAGACTTTTCATCGCTGTTGTTAAACTGCGTTTCTGTGTTGATGAGGTTGATTTCTTGCTGTGTGAAATGGTGTGTTGCTTATTGCTCTCTTCCTGCAACAAGGTTTTGTTCGGTAATGCTTTCTACAAATTCAGGGTACATTTCAAGAAATGTTTTTGCATTCGGTTCCTGTAGTTTATCATATTAGTTTCTTGGTCGGTTACACTCATAAAGCAACGGATTAAATTATTGTTCATTTCTGTAGTCTAATCCTCATGAGGCAAGGTCCTAAAGTGACCTGCTTTGGTGGTTGCTGGTTTATTGTCCAACAAATCTCGTTCCGCAGGGGAATCTTGTTGATCGTGGGCGCTTCTTGGCTTATCGGCTGTTATTCCTTGGGGCTGGTGCCTGGCAAGGTCCTTTCTGTTCAGCTCCTGACCGCCACTGGCCCGCTCGCTGCCACCTCCAGCAGTGGCTCCCCAGGAAGCGACTTTTGTTCCGAGGCCTTACGAGTCTCCACATGGGTCTGCCATTGCCCTGTCTGCTACACTCCGTAGCCTTGCCCGTCTCTCACGTGGCGAAGGTGATTCTTGCTCACTCTTATGGTTGGCCTTTGGGAGATCAGAGAAGTAACGGAAAGTGCGGAGAGAATGATAGGATAGGTTGGGAAAGGTAACAGAAGACAATTATCTACTCAACCCACCTGTCGCCTATCGGCACCTTTTGGCACATGTCAGATGGAGTCACTAGGTAGGGACAGAAGTCAGCTGCCTCGATTGGGCCTCTGACGACGGGAGGGGATCCCATTGATCATCGTTACCTTCCCCTTTGCGGCGGCGGCGGCGGTTGTCTTGTTGGCCTGCTTGGGCTGCATGAGCCAGGTGCCGCTGGGGCCGAAGCCCGGGTAGAGCGCGTTGACCCGCGCCAGCGCCTCGCCGCCCGGGGTGCCCTGCATGCTGATGGAGCCCCCGGCGCCGAAGAACTCGGACACGCCCCCGCCGAAGGAGCCGTCGCTGAAGCTGTTGTAGGAGGTCCAGGTAACGGTGGCGCTGCCGGACACGGCCCATGACGTGCGGCTCAGCCCGGCACGCGGCTCCGGCACGTCGCGCAGCACGTCGCTGAGGATGCGGTCCAGGATGGCGTCGCCCTCCTGCAACAAGCAACAGTCACGTCGCTTAGGATGCCTTCGAGAATGGCGTCGCCCTCCTGCAACAATCAATAGTCACGTCGCTGAGGATGCGGTCCAGGATGGTGTCGCCCTCCTGCAACAATCAACCGTCACGTCGCTTAGAATGCCTTTGAGAATGGCGTCGCCCTCCTGCAACAATCAACAGTCACGTCGCTTAGGATGGCGGTCCAGGATTGGGCGGTCGCCCTCCTGCCAGAAATCAACAGTCACTGTCGCTAGGATGCCGGTCCAGGATGGCGTCGCCCGCCTGCCAAACCAATCCAACAGTCACGTCGCTTGAGCGTAATGCGCCCTCTGAAAATCACATCCCGCTGATGGCGTTGGTGCGCGCCTTCTCTGCACAATCAACAGTCTCAGTCGCTGAGGAGGCGGTCCAGGATGGGCGTCGCCCTCTGCAGCAAACAAACAGTCAATCGCTTAGGATGCGTTCCGGGATGGGCGTCGCCCTTGCCAACAATGCAACAGTCACGTCGCTTAGAGAGGCGTTCCTGGACAGGGCGTCGCCCTCCTGCAATCATCAACCAGTCCACGTCGCTTAGGATGCGGTCCAGGAATGCGTCGCCCTCTGCAATCAAGCAACAGTTCCACTCGGCCTAGTAGGAGGCGGTCCATTGGATGGCGTTGCTCCTCCTGCAACAATCAACAGCACGGTCGCTTAGGATTGCGGTACCGGGGATGGCGTCGCCCTCCTGCAACACAACAGTCACGGTCGCGTGTAGGATGCCCTACGTTGCAAAAGCCGTCTGCGCCAAGATGCGTCGCCTCCTGGCAACACATCAAACAGTCACGTCGCTGCAGGATGCGATCCAGGATGGCGTCGCCTCCTGCCAAACAACAGTCACGTCGCTTAGGATGCCGTCAGTGACCTCGCGTGAACAAGCAAGTCGCGCGTACGACGCGTCGTGGGTCTCTGCAACAGCAACAGTTCACGTCGCTTAGATGCTCTTGGATGGCTGTCGCCCTCCTGCAATCAATTCACAAGGTCTCGTCGCTGAGGAATGCGTTCCAGGATGGCGCGCTCCGCACAACTCCATGCGTAGAGCCGGATGCGTCGCTACATCAACGTCCACCGTCGCTGAGGATGCGGTCCAGGATGGCGTTCGCCCTTCTCTGCAACAAGCAACAGTCCACGTGCTGTAAGGGATAGCGGTTCCCAGGATGGCGTCGCCCTCCTGCCACAATCAACAGTCACGTCCCTTAGGATGCGGTCCAGGATGGCGTCGCCCTCCTGCAACAAGCAACAGTCACGTCGCTTAGGACGCGGTCCAGGATGGCGTCGCCCTCCTGCAACAATCAACAGTCACGTCGCTTAGGATGCGGTCTGGGATGGCGTCGCCCTCCTGCAACAATCAACAGTCTCGTCGCTGAGGATGCGGTCCAGGATGGCGTCGCCCTCCTGCAGCAAACAACAGTCAT